AAATTTACATTTTGCCGCCCCCCCCTCCCCCCTTCTCCCGGAGATAAATAATGACCGGTCCCTAAGCCCAAAATGAAACAGTCATACAAGCACAAAGGTCATCCAATCAATCTTTTAACTAGTAAATTGTTTTTCTTTGTTGCTAATTAGTAATTATAAAAGGGCTGTTGATCTTTTCTTTGATGCTTTGTTAGAAAAAATATATTTGAAATAAAAGATTTGCGGAAATAACAGTAAAAACAATGGATAATGGCTTATACTCAAAGCCGAGAATATTGTAGTCCGTTTCTTTATTTTTATTCTTCCACATTTACTGTGTCAATATTTGCACGAATAGACACAAATTTGAATTCAGACTTATTTCAAATATAAAGGTGTAAAATGTGGCGTCCTTGGGGTTCAACGCAACCCAATATCAACAATTATGACAGACCGCTTGAAATTCTGCAAGACGTAATTATTATTCATATAAAATAGGGAGTTATGGTATGATTGCGAATGAGAAAACTATCCACCAGAGTTGAAATGACGAAGATAATTTAAAAAGCAATTACAGGTCGCAGTACCAATAGAAAAAATAGTTTGTACAACAGCTGGATTGCTGAAATGCATGATCTTAGATTTATTTTATATTAACTGTCAGCTCATTATTGAGACACCATGTACTAAGCACATTCAACAATACTGGTAAATCTTCTTCGATCTCAGCCATTAAAATAACATCATCTTCAGCATATAACAATTAATAACTAATTTTTCTTCATCTATGGTAGTACCAATATTCAACACAATAATATCACCAACCATAATGCCTTCAACAATGAGAAAACCCCATATCGAATAATCGGCTATACGTGGCCCCGATTGATGATTACACGTTTTTCTTAAAGACAAATTGATAAACACATACTTTTCCTTGAGTTAAATGACTTTTTAATCAAAAGAAGGTACAATAGCATTAAATCAATTTTGTGAAAAACAGTATATTTTTAGTGGCCCCGACAGATATTTGACACACTCTAAGTCTTCCCCCTTTTTACGAACACACTATTCAAGGACCCCTTATTTTATTTTAACTATCTATATGAAAGTTGCTGCCCTCATAAATATTAACTACCGGCTGTTATCGACGGATGTAAGCTGTGGTATGATCCAGGACGATTGATGCTGTATAAAGCATAAAACTCGTAACGGTAAGATTGATTGATTGTTGGTTGCTTAACGTTTAATGGCAAATATTTCATGCATATTCAGAACGAGAACAAATTAACAATAAATGCAATAGGTAGGTTCTGTAATAGAGGCGTCCGGGATTGAGGTCGGAGAGATTTAGACTACCTCGGGAAATGAGGGTATATTGGATAGGGACAGAAATTTAGCCTTGTAACAGGTCACCTACGGACCCCTCAAAGAGTTGTTGCAAGGGTTCTTAACGTGCAAAGAGCGTGGCACTCTCTTCACACGAGGCATATGATTTAACGTCCCCATTCTGACCGGACGTGGCTGCAAATTTGTACATCCCGCACAGCCAAACAGACGCCTCACTTTAGCAAGGGTTTTACTGCCGGTCGGAGGAAGACCAATGATGACCATACTTCTATTCCCCAGTCACCCTTGGTGGTAACGGTAAGACAATAATTATCTGTTATCAAACAGTGAGTATGTCAGCTCTTAACGTTTAGTGAATACATATATGAAATTGCAAGTATTTGGCAACTCATAACGCTATTTGAATACACATATAAATTGCAAATGTATATCAACTCATAACGTTATATGAATACATGGCTTAATTGCAAATGTATGTCAACTTATAACATAATATGAATGCATATATAAATTACAAATGTATGTCAACTCATAACGTTATATAACGTTATATAAATACATTTCTCTAATTCTTCGTCAATTTATCCCTTTCTGCACCCATTGTATAAAAAAAATTTAATCAACGTGTGGTTCGTTTGATCTCAGTTCTTCATTGGTTAAAATCCGATTATGACGTCGAATTTTCTTGCTTTCCTCTGAATTTCCTATTGTGACGGCATGAAAAAAGGCGACCATGCCTGATGACGTCACATAGAAGAACACATCTTTTTGCAGATCATTCAAAAAGAAGGAATAAGTTTGCCTGCATATTGTTTGAAAATCATTAGAGAAACAGATTCCACCACCAAATCTCGTGTAATACGATATTTATCCACTCTCGACAGTTAAATTTTAAACATATCCAGAAATCAACGCCACTTTGCTTATTTGAATATTATACTAAAGAAATCGGATACGGGTCACGGAAATTATATTGAAATGATAGGGAATTTTGAAAAAATGTCTGTTTTAACTTTGATTTAAGTGATAGACAGGTTGCCGGGGCAGAAAATAAATATACACAACAATATACACCATTTAAACGAAATATAATGACTGTCGTTGCAAAAATCAAGGTTCCTGAGCTATTTTAAAAATCGAAGCGAGAGGCTTTTAACATTGCAGTATAAAATACAAGCTAAAATGGCTGAAACGTCAAATTTGCAAACTTCGTGTTGAAAATCGGCTAACATGGTCATTAGAAATACAGGTTGCCGGGGTGAAACTTGAAACTTGAATGTCCAAAGAATAAGCAAGTCCAAACCTTGTATGTGTAGTCGTTGAACTCTAGGTTCCCACGTAAAGTTAAAATGCCTCTATTTCAAGAAGAATAAACTCACGAAAACACGAAAAATTCACTAAATTCGCGTTCATTGTTTTGATTTTCACCGCCTGACAACTTTACGGAAATATCAGAGTGATTATAAAGAAGGACTCTGTGACGGGCAACTTATAATATCCGTGTTTTAAAGATTTTAATGATATCAAGCCAGTCCACTTCAAACTATTATCACGTGGTACAATTCTCATTTACATATAATGAATATTAAATAGCAAAAGTACTACTAATTTCTGGCTATGATATTTAAAACGCTCGGCGAGCCTCGCGTTTTAAATTTGAAAATTTAACTGTCTCGAGTGGATAAATATCGTATCACACTCGATGCAGTGGTATAATCTATATATCCAAATTGGAAATGTGTGTCAACTCGTAACGCTATGTGAATACATATATATTATAAATTCAAAACGTTATGTGAATACATATCTAAATTGGAAATGTTTGTCATCTCATAAAGTTATAACTTATACGAATACATATCTTAATTGTAAATGTATGTCAACTCAAAACGTTATGTGAATACATATATATTATAAATTCAAAACGTTATGTGAATACATATCTCAATTGGAAATGTTTGTCAACTCATAAAGTTATAACTTATACGAATACATATCTCATTTGGAAATGTATGTCAACTCATAACGTTATATGAATACATGTCTACTTATAATGTTATATGAATACATGTCTACTCCTAACGTTATGTGAATACATATCTAAATGAAAAATGTATGTCAACTCATAACGTTATATGAATATATGTCTCCTTATAATGTTATATGAATACATGTCTTCTCATAACGTTATATGAATATATGTCTGAATTGCAAGTGTATGCAAACTCATAACGTTATAGAAGTATCTGCTAGAAATCTAGAAACAATGCGAATCCATATCTACATTGTAATTTTCTATAACTCAAAACGCTATTTCAACAATTAATTCTGCCACTGCAAGTTGAAAGCATAATGCAAGTTGAAAATATAATGTGTTGAATGTATAAATACCCTGCCACGTCCCGGTCTCTGTTTTGTTAGATGTTTTCTGCTTTGTATCGATCTGAAGAGTTAAGCCCTTTTCAACTGATTTTTAAAGTTCGTTCTTATGTAGTACTTGTCCCAGGTGAGGAGAGGGTTGGCGCCTTCAAACATGTTTAACCCCGCCAAATTCAATATGTGCCTGTCCCAAGTCAGGAGCCTGTAGTTCAGTGGTTGTCGTTGGTTCGTGTCTGTCATATTTGTTTTTCGTATATTGTTTCGTTATGAATTAGGCCGTTAGTTTTCTCAATTGAATTGTTTCATATTTTTCATGTAGGGTCCTTATATAGCCGACTATACGGTATGGATTTTTTCCCTCATTGTTGAAGGCCGTACAGTTGCCCATAATTGCTAACATCAACTTCATTTGAACTTTGGTGAATAGTTGTCTCATTGGAAAGCATACCACATCTCCTTATTTTTATATAGTAGTATATATATCTCTGCTTCAATATATATTGGATGTTAGAAGGAGTATCAAGGTGCATAATTTATACGAAATATCCCAAGGTTAATAATATATATTGCCTTATTTTAGTATCAATAACTGAATATATACATATTATTTGTATCTATATTGATAAATGTCAATCATCTAAAATTAATCTGACATCTATCCATTCTTGATACCTCCAAGCTAATCAAAGTAAGGGTGGCAAGTATTACCACTATACAAGCTTTTAGGAGCCCGTGGTTTATAGATTTAAAGATATATTTCGATTTGCTATTCTAAGTTACGATGGCAATATCTATTGAACAAAGGTAAACAGATGACTCATTTAAGATACTGCTTCCAAATCGTTGGTCTTAAGCGTACCTGGACAAAAAGTTGTTCTAAAATTGTTATCTGGTCACTGAGTTCTAGTTATGATAGTAACAGTGACCATGTTAGGTTGTATCGATGAAATAATTTGATACAATTTTGAGTCCTACATGGAACTTATCCATCCTCTGAAAAAGTATATTTCCTTTGTAAAGGTATTGACATATATAATGGTTCGAGGCAACCTTTAAAAAGGAAAGGGTGTAATAGAAGACAACGCAGACGGTCCTTGATTATACCAGAAATCACTGCATTATTTCTCAACCTTAATTCCAATTCAGCATGAAAGAGTTCATCATATTTTGACGATTTTCGATGAATTTCGGAAATATTAATTTATTAATATGAGTCAACAAAGTGCATAAGCAGACATTTTGTTATAACTCATTCGAAAGCCTTGTAATTGTGTTGAGCAAATATACGGTACCTTTAAAGGACTTCCGTCAATTGCTGATTGTGACGATTCTTCTCCTACTGCAGCTTTCGATTCCGTTGTTCCCATTGGCGTTGTTGTGATAATCGTGACATCATTTCCAGACACCTTGATTTCTTGCGTTATGTCGTTATCTGGGGTCAAAACTTTCAAAGCTTTCCCCTTCACCTCATCTTGAAGTCCTGAAACATTTTGTTACTTTTATATTACATTAACAATTCTCCATTACCTTTAAAAAAGTAATGAAATGTGTATTGTGGTATTTGGACAACCTAGCTGAGAAACTTTACAAACTTTATTTGTCTGCATGTCGTGTATCTAATGACTGCTTGTAATTTCTTATCACTTAAAAATTACAAAATGCCCAGTAAAACTTATTTGAAGTTTTTTGTTATCCTTACTTGAAATCTTTGAAAAAACTGTAGATTTTTTTTAATTTGTGCTTTTGAAAACTTTGATATAGATGCCCTTGCTCTATATCTTTAACTAGCTATAAGGCAAATAATTATGTATTGATTAGTGTTATAAGCTTATTGAAAGCTTAAGGCTGTCTTGTTAAAATAAAACACCGTAAAATGAATGCATACTAACTTACCCAATGCATCTAAGTATTCCTGAAGTTTTTCTCCAGAAGTAAGTTTCCATTTTCCGTTAAGAGCTGCCATCTCGAAACTAATCTGTCTTGTTCTGGTTAAAAACGCGTGGGTTTATCGATTTACTACGTGTGTTTTACTTTAGTTTTAAAGTTTATTTCAATGGATTGCAGGTTGGTCAAACAAACCGTTGATAAATCACTTCCTAAGTTTGACATTCGGAAAAAGAGATAAAACTGTTTAGGTGTAATATGGGGGTACTTGATACCGTTATTCGCAATGAATATGTTGGTGAATAGAATTTTATAATTTATATATTATATCGATAAAAAGGCATAATATAAACATTGCTTACAAAGAGAACGAAGAGAAATGTAATGTAAAAAATTGATAATGTGAGAGTATTTTTGTAGAACCTAAAAATATACCCTTTTGCAGTTTCAGACAAGTTTTAAATACAAGCGATAGACGAATTTGAAGTCGGCAAACAAATGCATCTTGAGTGTTATTTTCCGATTGATCTAAGTGCATAAAGAAGTCTTTTAATTTATGTGTCATTCTTCTTTGCACAGAGGAAAGAAAGTGGTATTCTTTTTTTAAAGCGTCTATACTTCACATTGATGTACGATGATATGTCTAGGATATTTTTTAATAGAAATTTTCTAATATTTCTTTTTAAATGTCATATGATTTGAATTAAAAATATGAAGGTATCATAAACTCAAACTTTTTTTATTTTACTTTGTAATCCAATTAGTGATGAAATACCGAGGCATCATGTAAATAGATTATTAAACAAGCTAGACGATGATTTCCGAATCCGTCTGATCAAATGAGACTAAGACAAGTTTTTCCCGTAAAAAAGTAGTCTTCAGTACAAAAGTACCAACAAGGACTTGAAAGGAGCTATTATTATCCTTTGTGCTTTTTTTTTTAAATATCGCATTATTTCTTTGGTAAATTGGCATGTGTTGCTCTTCTCAAACTTAAATGATCAGTCCAACTCATCAAAGCAAATAGTAGTTTGCATTTACAGGCCTTCTGAATGATATGTCACCCTCTTATATACCTCGTGTCGATATAACACCCGTTGGACATTCAATACAGTATAGATAATTCTAAGAACATAATGTCACCCGAAACATACAATTTATCGATACAGTGCAACAGGTTCTGCTGCTGAAAACAGCGACGATGCCAAATCGACATCCTTGCAGTGACTGGCGACTAGCCATCCGAGTTAAGACCAAAACGGTTTCATATTCATCTGTGGAACTTAACTCTAGTAGAGCGATTACAAAAATGAAGATATCAGTTAATCCGGAATGATAGGGAATAGCTACTGCATGGTGACGTCATGAAACGGGTTTTTGCACGTATGGTTCAAATACTCTTATGGTCCGGGACATCTGTAAGGGATTTTATATAGCAATACATATAAACATATATATCTGACCTATAAAAAAAAACATCGTTTTTATGGACTTAATATATGTAAAATGATAATAACACTTCATTTTGGTGGCTCCAATGCGCTTTTCTGGATTTACTTTCATCCAGAATGAGTGTCTTAATAATTTCTTTTAACAGAAAAATGTAACTGTATTAATCATGCCAGTACCGAGCTGATATTGTAAGACATAAAAGTGTCCTGTTAAAAAGTGTCCGCCTGGACAGTTTTTCCACAGAATTCAGGTAATAAATAATCTCCATTACCATGAAATTTTGTCTCTTAGGTGGACAGAATTTTACAGCAACAGTTATGAAATAGTTTCCTACCTCACAGGACAATATTTCAAAGCAGTTGTTATTAAATTATGTCCTCTAAAGGAAGGTTATCAATTTCTTTTTATTATACTTGAATTTTAATTAATTAAGAAAGGTGTATCATAAATAGATGAATTTAAAAATAAACATGCCAAGAAATCCTCGCTCAAAATTCAGGTGGAACTCTTACGGCACCCATTAGTAGATAAAGATTTGATTTCATTCAACAAATTAATTTATGACCTGCATGTACGTGTTGCTTAGAACACGGTCATGTACCAAAAGGTCAATATTAATCATCCGTGTAATTTGCTCTATGGGATGTTTGCAAACTTTCAACGGAGGCAATTTCTTGGCATGGGAGAAAGGAAGAAACACCATTCACAATTTGTCTAACCTTTTATTTTCTAATTAAATAGAAAAAAAAAACTTTTCAAATATAGAGTTCATAAGATAAAAATATTCCCTGTGGAACCCCTCATTTTGCTCCCTCCATTTTCACCCCTTGAATGATGTTTTCCAATCTAATTAAAATTAAAACCTTGCTTTATAACCGATCTATTCATGTGCAAGACCGGCAACATTCTTTATTTAATTAGAAACCATACATGCCGTTATACACATGCATTTTGTCTGCTTGGAGTCCCCGCCTGAAAAGAAAGAAATAGCCAAACTCCAAGATAATATATTTCTGTATCACTTGATTTTTACCACATGGGGCTTACATTAGAATAAATACCGAATATAGAAAGTGAAACTACAATTCAAAACATAAAGTCCGAAGGCACATAGAAGAAAAAGAAGATTTTTTTGGCAAAGGGCGCCGGGTGTACCCTCTCTGTGTTCAAGATATACATGACAAATTTGCCACTGCACCTTGTCTGTTCTATGAATTCTTACCCTGAGTTTTCTATCTATTACGGGAGAAAGGAAGAAAGACCATTCACAATTTATCTAACCTTTTATTTACTAATTAAATAGAAAAAAAACTTTTCAAATATAGAGTTTATTTATAATTCAGTGCACCTTGTCTGTTCCATGAATTCTTACCCTGAGTTTTCTATCTGTTACATGCCAAGAAATCCTCGCTCAAAATTCCGGTGGACCTCCTACGGCACCCATTAGTAGATAAAGATTTGATTTCATTCAACAAATTAATTTATGACCTGCATGTACGTGTCGCTTAGAACACGGTCATGTACCAAATGGTCAATATCAATCATCCGTGTAATTTGCTCTAAGGGATGTTTGCAAACTTTCAACGGAGGCAATTTCTTGGCATGAAATGGATGGCAGTGAATACCGACAAATTTAAAACTATCTAAGTTCAAAGAGATACCTAGAAAAGTTCAATGAAAATGTAAGGCTAACACTTCGAAGAAAATGTCAAAATTGGAGGAGTTCTTTTATATTTATAAGGACAAGAAGGCCACAGAAAGTATAGACAAGCTTGTAGTTCATTGCAATAAGCTGGAAATTGTATTGTTGATGTGTCATGATGAAAGTGGCTGTCATCTTTGTATCAATAAGACAGTTTCCAAAAATTGCATCAAAATATTATTTTGTCTCTTAAGTGGACAGAATTTTACAGCAACAGTTATGTCCTCCCACAGGACAATATTTCATAGCAATTGTTATTAAATTATGTCCTCCAAGGGAAGTAATCATAAAGGTCACCAAAATGTTTTATTAAACTTGAATTTTAATTAATTAAGAAAGTGTATCACATTTACTGTTCAAGAACCAAAAGGAGAAGGGGTGATATTAAAGTGCCATTTTTGGCCTCACCCCCAAATTTCATTTAATTTGTCATGTTGAAACTCTATACCACAGACCTTCTAAAAATGGTGGCATTTTGGATCTACCACGCATATTCTGTTGCCTAGCAACCAGTATAATGCTGGAGATAAATTCATTAAATATGCAAAACATACAGCTTAAATCTATTTATATTTGAAATCCAACCTGTTGAAAATGCAGTAATTATACAATTATACACTTGTTTAAATGTAGCACAATGTAATGCACATTTCTTGGCAAAATCATCGTAATTTCTACCAAGTAACAAAACTTTGCCCATAGCAACGGCAATTTGTTTTCTATTTTACAAGATTAAACTTTTCATATGTTGCAAAAATAAAAGATAATTCAAGATGCACATTGTAAAAAGTAACAAACTCCAAGGAAAATATCAAGGATAAATATCAACAAACAAAACTACAGACAAACAAATGTAATTCTTCAAGAGAATGTGGTAACGAAATGCACTTCTAGAGTCCATCTGTGGAGTAAAATAAATGTACCATTGACCTTATGGTGAAATTGCTGGTTATTACATTTTTTCATGAACTACGTGTTCACGTGTACACCTTATATATTCGTTTAATTATCCCACGTATTATTGATACTAACAGATTTTGTCTCTAGTGCTGGGTGGAGTCCTTTTAAGTTTGTAATGCCCCGTGGTGGAGGGGTTTACCCTTGTCCATTCGTACGTCCCGAAATTGGTTTCTGTTCTCTAACTTTACTTTGCCATAACCAAATGTTCTGAAACTTATACACAATCATTATTACAACCAAACACAGATCAAGTAAAAATTTGGGTGGCGTCACTTTCACTGTTCTGGAGAAATGTCCCTTTATAAATTGAAAAGTCAGCAAATTTGCGGTTTCTGTTTTATAACTTTACTTTGTCACAAACAAATGTTATGAAACTTGTCATCAATACTTATTACCACCAAACACATATAAAATTCGAATTTTGGTGAAGTCACTTTCACCGTTCTTGAGGTTTGGCCATTCGTAAATGAAAAAAAAATGGATAAATTGCCGTTTTCGAACTTTAACTTTATGTTGCCTCAACCAAATGTTATGTAACTTATACACAATACTTATTAACACCAAACACAGATCGAGTTCGAATTAGGGTGGCATCAGTTTTCGCCGTTCTCGAGTAGCCCCATTACTGTTTTTTATTGAACAATGAGAGCACTCAAACCCCCGAGTAATCTCTGATGGCAATATAAAGAAACAAATGGCATCCAGTTTAAAAGAAAACAAAACGTCAAGTACATTGACTCTTGCATATTTACAAGCAGTGGCATCTGTGTCCCATGGACAGTTTTGGCATAACTTCCATAAGATAACTTTCTCTCTTATAAACTATTTGTTAATCAACATGTTTATGCGAACCACTATCTAACCAAATCTTAATGGAAATTTTGGTAGGAGAAACAGTCTCATCGTTAAATGTACTATAACAAATTCAGATCTAACATCAATAACCAAAAATGCTAAAATGATGATACCAAATGGCTGATCAAAGGGGCTAGTGTAAAAGTCCCTGTTTTGAACACCAGCAAAATAAATATCATGTTTCTCACCAATTATATACATTTAAATATGAAATCTTTTAAATCTTTTTTCGGTTAATTTGTTTTT